GTGAGGAAACGAGGAGGGCGGAGGACACTGGCTCGGGGCGGGGGGGGAACGCTGCCCTGGAGTCGATGACACGCCACCGATGGATCGGCGATCGGTCGGCTCTCGACGGCAAAGCCGCACGTTCCTGGGCGGGGAGTGCTTCAGCAGGCCCCACGTTGGCGAGGAGTGGGCGACGAGGGGGCCCCCCCCCCCACACACCCCCCCCAGCCCCCCCCCCCCCTCCCCCCCCCTCTGGGTCACTGGGGGCCCCCCCCCCCGGGGCCAGCCCCCCCCCCCCCCGGCCCCGGGAAGAGCTCTCGGCGACGCGCGGCTGCCGGAACGCATCCCGAGGGCAGAACAACGGGGGCCCAGGGACACGAACAGAGAGACACAAATCCCAGGATTCCCCAAATCTTCCCCGATCTTCTGGGTTTTCGTCGTCCCCCCCCCCCCGCTTCCCATCTCGTCCACTCTTTTCCTGGGGGAATCGACGATCAACTGCGTCTGTGTGTTTTTGTCCCCTCGTGCTAGACGACGACGGCCGAGAAGCGACGAAGACGTCTGAAGACCGCGAGCCTCGACCCGGCGAAGGGCCGACCACTCTCTGCGCTGCCGCGGAGCCGTGCCCGCGCCCCGCGGCCCGCGCCGCTTTCCCCGCCGCCACGCTCCTCCAGCACCACCACAGACATGCGACGTCCTCCTCCTCCTCCTCCTCCTCCTCCTCCTCCTCCTCCTCCTCCCCCTCCTCCTCCTCCTCCTCCTCCTCCTCCTCCTCCTCCTCCGCGTCCCTCCTCCTCCTCTTCTCATCCTCCTCCTCCTCCTCCTCCTCCTCCTCCTCCTCCTCCTCCCCCTCCCCCTCCCCCTCCTCCTACTCCGCCCTCCTCCTCCGAGACCACCACGGGCTCCCCAGAAGTCACGACCCCGTCCCCAGGGCCAGTGTTAGGGGAACGAAAAATGGCATTAACATAAAAAAATAGCAGGTCCGCGCGGATTTCTTGGATCCGCGCTAGACCCTCCTCCCAGGCGCGCGGAGCGCGCCAGGGGCGGCGCCTGAGGCGCCGCCAGGGGGGCTCAGCGCCGATCCGAGACATCCGCGCGGACCTCCGAGTTATTTGTTTATGTCATTGTTCGTTCCCCTAAGTGTCTCATCCCGAGTCGTTTGCTATCGGTCCTGGGGCCAGGGGAGGGCCCCCCCACGGCCGAAAGCTGCCAAAAACCTTCTAATAGACCAAAGAAGAACTCCCAACCCTCTGGGAGGGGACCTGAGCTAGGAGGGAAAACAAAAAACGTTGAGGATAGGGGCTCTTTTCTGCAGACGTCTCACACCAAACCGCTCAGATGTACGAATGACCCCTGATGCGAAGACGGGGACCTCGGTGAGGCCACGCCTCCATCGCGTCAGTAGGGTTAGCGGTTCGTTTGTGCTCGATGCTCTTCCGTCGTGACTTTTTTCGGGGGCGCGCAAACATGGATTAGCGATCCATGGATTTGGCGCGCGGTCGCCAAACCCATGGACCGGGGGAGGTGCCCTGCCCAAAAGGCAGCCGGTGCCGCCTCCTTCGGCGGCGGAGATCAGCGACCTCCCGTGGAAACGGGACCCGTCGCTAACCCACGACCCCTTGATTCATGTTTGCGATCGCCTGACTTTTTCGGGAGCGGCCAAGAGGGGGGTGTCCAAGAGGGGGGGGTGCAAATCATGACCGGCGGCATGTGCGCGGCCCAGCGGGGGGACCAGGGACGTAATGAAATAAGAAGAGGGGCCATGAAATCTGAGGAAATATCATGGCCCCCGCCATGATATCCAACCCCCCTAGTCATCACCCCCCTCTCTGCCGCCCCCGACTTTTACGACGCGAGCACGTCTGGGGCGGCACCGCGCGCGACGGCGCCCGCGGCAGTGCTGCAGGCAGGGGCGCTCTCGGAGCGCAGGCCTCGGCCTGGCGCCGCCGCCTCCGCCGGCCGCCGCCGCCGGAGACGCCCCCCGCCCTCGCCGTCGCGGCCGTCGCCGCCCTCTCCCTCGTCACTCGAGTAGGATTAGGTCGGGCACGTCCCCCTTTCAAGCGGATTATGGATGGAAAAATGCTCAAAGGTACTCAAAAAATAATCGAAAAGTCGTCCTCGGACCATGTTTTACTATTTTTGAAGATTCCCCCTGTAGAGTGGCACGCCCGACTTAAGAGTAGGAGGTCGACTACAGAACTAATGTACCCCAAGCTTGAAAATCTCGCCGAATCTGCAACAGATGCGTGTAGTGTTCGTCCTTCCGGCAACCATTCTGCGCATCATTCCTCGCAGATTCGACGAGCGTTTCGATTCTGGGGCAAGCAAATTCTGCAGTGGTCGACCTCCCGCCGGAGTCGTCCTCGTCCTCGCGCCCTCGCTGCGGCCGCCGCCCTCGCCGCCATCGTCGACGCCGCCGCTGGAGAGCCCGCGCGGGGGGGACTCGCCGTCGCTCGGACGTCCGTTCCCTGTGTTTTTTGTTCGCCCTCGTGCGTGGTTTTTTCGCCAAGTGATCAAGGATGCTCCTCGATGGTCCTCGCCGAAGGAAACATGCACACGTCCGAGCGATGCCAAGGGGAGGCGGCGGCGCCCCGGCGGGCCTTCCGCTCCTTCCGGTGGCCGTGCTCCTTCCGGCCGCGGCGGCGGCGCTCCCGGTCCTTCTCCTTCCGGTGGCGCCGCTCCTTCTTCCGGTGGCCGTGGTCCTGCCGGCGGGGCGGCGGTCTCCGATATCGACGCGTCGGGGCAGCCCGCCCGAGAGGTGCGCCGAGCGGCCCCGGGCGTGCTCGCGCCGCGGGAAAATCACGACGGACGGTTTTGTAGGGGGCCACATGCGAGCCCTACCCCTACCCCCCACGATTTCTGGGGGGGAGGGTGGGGTTCACTTCATTCGGGAGCTCCCGAGCGAAGTGAGCCCCACCCTCCCCCCCAGAAATCGTGGGGGGTAGGGGTAGGGTTCGCATGTGGCCCCCTATTTTGGGCAGCGTCCGCTGGGCCCCAGGACCGTCAGAAAGAAACGACGCGGGGCAAGGAAAGTAACCCCTGCAGGGGACAGCGTCGGGACCTCCGGGGGCCCAACCCCAGCGAAAGGCCCAGCCGATGCAGCTGCCGCCAGGCAAGCGAGCAGAAGGATGGGGACGAGCAGAAGGACGGGGACGAGCAAAAACGGTGCCGTGCGAAGAACCCTGCCACTGGGGCCTTCGATGGAGCTCCCTCTGCAGCCACGACCCTCGTGAGGAGCGTGCCGAAATGGGCAGGGGGGACGCGCGCGGACCCTGCCATTGGGGCCTTCGGAAGAGCTCCATTAGGCCATTAGGCCACGGTCCTCGTGAGGGGTGTGCCGAAATCGGCGGGGGGTGGGCGGCGGACCCGACGGGGCAGGGCTGCCTCGCCCGAGGCCGCTCTGCACCCACGGCTCGGCGAGGCTGGCGGCCGGTCGCATCCGGTGGGTCTCGATGTGGAGCACCGACCGCTGGGGCCAATGCACCTGGCCTTGACGAACGATCAACACGCACCCATACCCATCGGGGAGACGGAATGAGCTATGGGTGCGTGTTGTCGGATAGGGGTCCCCGCTCGAACGGAAGCCTCCTCAGGGGTCCGACAACCCGCACCCATACCCATAGCCAGTCCTTCTCCCTCCGACCTCCCTATGGGTATGGTATGGCTGTGTGTTGTTCGTTCGTCAGGCCTGCGCACAAGCCCGCGGGCTGAGTGCACGAGTGCAACACAGCGCCCCCCAGGCCGGCGAAGCTGCCGGCCAGCAGCGGCCACGCCGGACTGAGTGCTGCAGCCCACGGACGTGCACTCCACGAGGCACCCGAGCCCATCACCAGGCCAAACGCTCTGGATGTGGGGAACACCGCCGTCCCGATCGCCGAGCCGAACGTGTCGAGCGTCACACCCTCGAGGTGCCCTCCAGGCGCCAAGCCGAGACGCTGGTAGGACATCGGCGCCGACGGTCCGTGGACCCACGGGCCCGAGCCGCATGGGGGAGCTCCGAGGCCTTGCGCTGCACAGCCTCCCCATGGCGGCACGGCCACCCCGCGGCGGGGGCCCAGCCCAGCAGCCCTCCACCGCCAGGCGCGCCAGCCGCAACAGTGACGGGGCCACCCTGCGGGCCCTGCGCGCCGATGGCGTGCCGCAGGCGCCAAGGTTTCCACTCCTCCGAAGCCTCCGATGCCCAGGGCGCCAGGGGCCGCCAGGCTGCTGGCCAGGCGGGCCGCCAGCACGCGGCGGCTCTGCCTGCGCCCACCACGGCCAGCGCGCCAGCTCCCGGGGGAGGGCGGCACCAGCCCTGTGGCAGCTCCACCTCCGGCCACGGGTCCGGCAGGCACGGCAGGTGCCAGCAGCGTGCGGCGGCAGCCAGCGGCGCGGCCGCTCCTGCGCATCCCACGGCGAGGGGCACGGCGGCGGCTGGGACCGCGGCCGCAGGGCATGAGCTGGTTTCGCCGGCGCTGGTTTCGCCGGCCCTGGTTTCGCCCCGCTGGTTTCGCCGACGGCTGGTTTCGCCGACGGCTGGTTTCGCCGACGGCTGGTTTCGCCGGCGCTGCTGTCGCCCGCGCTGCTTTCGCCCCGCTGGCTTCGCTGGCGGCTGGTTTAGCCAGCGCTGGTTTTTGCCGGCGCCGGTTTTGCCGACGCCGTCGTCGGCGACGGCGTCGGCGTCGGGGTCGGCGTCGGCGTCGGCGTCGGCGTCGGGGTCGGCGTCGGCGCCGTCGCCGTCGCCGTCGCCGTCGCTGTCGTCGTCGTCGTCGTCGTCGTCGTCGTCGTCGTCGTCGTCGTCGTCGTCGTCGTCGTCGTCGTCGTCGTCGTCGTCGTCGTCGTCGGGCGTCGGGCGTCGGACTTTAAGGGGCGGGTGGGTCGGGCGGGCGGGACATTAAAGTGTGGGGCGCGCTCGACTAAGCACGCAAGAACCTTAACGGGCGGGTCGGGTCGGGCGGGCGGACCCTAGCGGGCGGGTCGGGTCGGGCGGGCGGAACCTTACTGGCGGGTCGGGTCGGGCGGGACATTAAAGTGCGGGGCACGCTCCACCGAGCACGCGCGAACCTTCACGGGTAGGTCGGGTCGGGCGGGCTGGTCGGGCGGGTGGGTCGGGTCGGGCCGGGCGGGCGGACCCTAACAGGCGGGTCGGGTCGGGCGGGTGGGACATTAAACCGTGTGGCACGCTCGACCTAACACACGCGAAACCTAACGGGCGGGTCGGGTCAGGCGGGCGAACCCTAGCGGGGCGGGTCGGCTCGGGCAGTTTCGCGGACGGCAGCTGGCTTCGCCGACGGCAGCTGGTTTCGCCGACGGCAGCTGGTTTCGCCAATGGTGGCGAAGCCAATCGGGCGAAGCCAGCCGGGCGAAACCAGCTGGGCAAAGCCAGCTGGGCAAAGCCAGCCGTCGGCGAGACCAGCGGTGGCCGGCCGCAGCGGGTGGCGGGGTCCATGGCCGCCCGCAGCCCGCGGCCTCGGGCACCGCCTCTGCCCTGAGCGCAACCTCCTCCTGCCGCAACGCCGGCGGCGGGGGCGCCAGGCGGCGCGGCCGCCGCCTCGACCCGCGCCGTGGCCCTTGGCGATCTGGATGGATGTTTCACAGCCCGCGCGGCGCGGGGGGCTCTGGCGTGTGGGTGCTCTCCCCTGGTCCGCCCTGTCAAATGGGCTTGTGCCACGCCTTCCCCGATTCCAGCCGTCCTGCCTCGCCCGCGCGGCGAGGGGGCCAGCGCAGGCAGAAAGGCTCGCACTAGCGCATCCGCCCAGCTTGAAACTACGAGCGCCTCAGCCCGCCTCGACCTCCTCTGCTCCTCCTCCTCGTCCTCCTCCTCCTCCTCCTCCTCCTCCTCCTCCTTCTCCTCCTCCCCTCCTCCTCTTCCTCCTCCTCCTCCTCCTCCTCCTCTCTCCTCCTCTCCTCCTCCTCCTCCCCTCCTCCGCCCTCCGCCTCGCCTCCGCCTCCTCCTCCTCCTCCTCCTCCTCCGCCTCCTCCTCCTCCTCCTCCTCCTTCCTCCTCCTCCTCTTTCCTCCTCCTCCTCCTCCTCCTCCTCCTCCTCCTCCTCCTCCTCCTGCTCCTCCTCTCTCTCCTCCCTCTCCTCCGCCGCCTCCGCCTCCGCCTCCGCCTCCTCCGCCTCCTCCGCCTCCTCCTCCTCTCCTCCCCTCCTCCTCCTCCTCCTCCTCCTCCTCCTCCTCCTCCTCCTCCTCCTCCTCCCTCTCCTGCTCCTCCTCCTCCTCCTCCTCCTCCTCCTCCTCCTCCTCCTCCTCCTCCTCCTCCTCCTCCTCCTCCTCCCTCCTCCTCCTCCTCCTCCTCCTCCTCCCCCTCCCACCTCCCCCTTCGGCCTTCGCCGTGGCCCTGGCCTCGGGAGGAGCTGGGAGCGCGGCCGCGCGACCCTCGCGGGCGGCGCGGCGCGGCCGCCCACCGCGCCCCCCGCCTGGCAGCCGCAGTGCGGCTCGGGCAGCTCCGCCCAGCCCCGTCGGCGAGGTGAGCGGCGGAGGGCCCTCGAAGGGGAGCGGGAGGCGAGGCCCTCGAGGGGCTGCTGCCGCGCCCACGCGGAGCGCCCAACTCCTCCGGCCCTCACCCTAGGGTCCCGCAGGGTGAGGTCGGCCTGCGCACAGAACTGTTTCGAGACGGCAGGAGCGCAAAACGAAGTAGGAGGAGGAGGAGGAGGAGGAGGAGGAGGAGGAGAACGACGCCGAGGGCGGAGGATGAGGGATGACGAGGGCTGACGAGGGAGGATGGAGGAAGGAGGAGGAGGCAGGAGGCGAGACGAGGGAGGAGGAGGAGCAGGAGGAAGACGAGGAAGACGAGGGATAAGGAGCAGGAGGAGGAGGAGGAGGAGGAGGAGGAGGAGGAGGAGGAGAGGAGGAGGAGGAGGAGGAGGAGAGAGGAGGAGGAGGAGGAGGAGGAGGAGGAGGGGAGGAGGAGGATGAGAGGAGGAGGAGGAGGAGGAGGAGGTAGGAGTATGAGGAGGAGGAGGAGGGAGAGGAGGAGGAGGAAGGAAGGAAAGGAAGAATAGGTGGAGGACGAGGGAAGAGGAAGACGAGGTACGAGGAGGAGAAGAGAGGAGGATGACGAGGTATAGCGAGGAGTAGGGAGGTACGAGGAGGAGGAGGAGGAGGAGGAGGAGGAGGAGGAAGGAGCAGGAGGAGGAGGCGGGAGGTAGGAGCAGTAGGAGAGGAGGAGGAGGAGAGGGGAGGAGGAGGAGAGGAGAGGAGGAGGAAAATTGGAGCTGGAGGAGGAGGACGAGTTAGGAGGAGGAGGAGGAGGAGGAGGAGGAGGACGAGGAGGAGGAGGAGGAGGCAGGAGGAGGAGGGAGGAGAGGCAGCAGTGACGCTGCCTGCTTCCTCGGAGGCGGAGTGATGGAAATGGAAAGGTGGGCACGCGCGCCCGCGGTCCTTGCGCCTCCGCCCGCCGGCGTCCCTCCGCCTCCGCCGGGGGGCTGGGGTCTCGGAGAGCGAGTACTCGTCGGAGTACTCCTGCGGGCTGCGGGGGAGGGGGCGGCATCGCCGCCCGCCCCCTCCCTCCTCCGAGGAGAGGATGAAGAAGAGCGGCACAGGCCAGCAAGGGAAAAGGCGGACAAAGGAAGAAAGGCTATCCGAAGAAAGAAAAGAGAGAACGAACAACAATGGAGAAGATGAAGCCCGCTACCCTGCACAAGAGAGCTATCCAGATATCGGACAGCCAGGCCCACCAAGTCACACTAATAAGAAACGCCCGCATCCGCCCACGCGGAAAGCGATCATAAATGATGTGCGCAAGTAGATGAAAGAGGTGGCCCCCCTGATCTGGTCCAAGGATCCTCCTTTGGGCCATAGCCACGAGGGAAAAAACTACAAAGGAGGAGGAAGAGAAGGAGGAGGAGGAGGAGGAGGAGGAGGCAGAAGAAGAAGAAGAAGGACCAGGGTAACCCAACACGCATCAACGATGCCGCAGCACACCCTCCTGTCCCTTGGCCCCCTCCTCACACCGTCCCTGCAAGCCTTCCGCTTGACCACAGGAAAAGCGCCCCCCCCCCCGAAAGGCCAGCAACGTTGGGCCTGCCATTCCGGCGAGGGCCCCCTCCTCACACGTCCCCGCAAGCCTGTTTCCTTGGACGACAGGAGAAGCGCCCCGCCCCCCCGAGAGGCCAGCGCAAAGTTGGGCCTGCCGTTCTGGCCAGGGCCCCGCTTCGAAACAGGAATTGCATTACATGCCCCTGGCGCGTATAGTCAAGAACGCGGCAACTATGATGAAGTCGGGCCTGTCCCTCTACAGGAGGATGTATTCAAAGATAGTCAAAAAATAGTCCGGGGACGATCTGTGGCAAATGTTATCACCATGTTCGAGCAGTGTCTGACTCTTTCTCCTTGTTCGTCCAAAATCTGCCTGTAGGAGGACATGCCCGACCTAAAGCTAGGATCAGACAGCTCAACGAGTTATCCAACGAGATTTCCCCTTTGAAAGACGACCGTCCCCCAAACCGTGTAACTGTTGCACAAGTGTACACCTGTGCTCATGAATGTCGAGGAAGTCCCAACCGACTGCTCATGCTTGAAGAAGAGCCGCCCTGGATCACTTCAGCGCTGCATGAGTTGGAGCGTCGACGGCTTAAAATGAAGTCTAAACAGACATTGTATTACAAAGCGGATATGCGCGGCGCTGCGAGATCCCCAATTTGAGAAAACGGCCTGTGCCCTATCCATGAAACTGTTCCCAGAAGGTGAAACGGATGTGCACGGCATTACAGCGGGAGCCCCACGTTGAAAAAGAACCGCGCTTCTATCTCTGAAACGATTGCGAACGCTTGTTACGAATGCCCGCGGGGCAAATGCGAGATCTGCATGTTCAAAACGACCCTCCTCCCCAAAAAAAATCCTGGCGAAGGACCCAACCATGCGCAAGTGCGAGAACCGCAGGGCAGGTGGGACGAAGCAATGGGAATTCCCAATGGGGCCACGAACCGTGTGAGGGGTGCGTCAAAATGGGGCGGGGCCGCCATGCGAACCCTGCCACTGGGGCCTTCGGTGGAACCCCGTATGGGGCCACGAACCGTGTGAGGGGTGCGCCAAAATGGGGCGGGGCCGCCATGCGAACCCTGCCACTGGGGCCTTCGATGGAGCTCCCTGTGGGGCCACGAACTGTGTGAGGGGTGCGCCAAAATGGGGCGGGTCCGCCATGCGAACCCTGCCACCGGGGCCTTCGGTGGAGCCCCCTATGGGGCCACGAACAGTGTGAGGGGTGCGCCAAAATGGGGCGAGTCCGCCATGCGAACCCTGCCACTGGGGCCTTGGGTGGAGCCCCGTATGGGGCCACGAACTGTTTGAGGGATGCCAAAAAGGGGCGGGGCCGCCATGCGAACCCTGCCACTGGGGCCTTCGGTGGAGCTCCCTATGGGGCCACGAACCGTTTGAGAGGTACGCCAAAATGGGGCGGGGCCGCCGTGCGAACCCTGCCACTGGGGCCTTCGATGGAGCTCCCTGTGGGGCCACGAACTGTGTGAGGGGTGCGCCAAAATGGGGCGGGTCCGCCATGCGAATCCTGTCACTGGGGCCTTCGGTGGAGCTCCCTATGAGGCCAGGAACGTGAGGGGTGCGCCAAAACGCGGGGTCGCCATGCGAACCCTGCCACTGGGGCCTTCGGTGGAGCCCCCTATGAGGCCACGAAACGCTGTGCTGGGTGGGTGAAACGCAGTGAGGAAGGAGGAGGGGGGGGAGGGAGGAAGGAGGCGGGAGGAGAACGCGGGGACCGTCTCTTCAAAACGAGGACCCAACACCACAGGATGGTTGGGACACCAAAACAAATCCCTGAAGCTGTTGCAAACTACGACGAAGGCGCGCGAAGTTGAAGCGAAAGCCATAATTGGAAAAGGAACTGCCCTCCACCCGTGAATCTGAGGCAAACATTTGAAACGAGTGCGCGCGGCCAAGAGAGAGCCACAACTTGAAAAGAGAGCCGCCCTCCACCGCTGAACTTAAGAACACGTTTGAAGCGAATGTGCGCGGCGCTAACGCGATAGTCACATTTTGAAAATGACCCACTTTCAGTCCGTGAAACGGTTGAAACCTTTTGAAAC